GCCGGTCCGTTCCCCGCTGCTTCGTCGTCTCAGTTTCCAGGCCTTTGAAATGCACAGGGACAGCAGCTTTCGGTGGGACCGGCGGGCACCCCTCCTCCGGGCAGCTCCCAGTCCCAGCCCCGGGGAGTTAAACATTCGGACAGTCTCCGTGGGCTTGGAAGACATCCTCAGGGGAGTGGGTGAAGAGCCCTGTTGCAGTTGAAGGGATTGCAGACTGGCTGATCGGTTGTTAAACTAACTGAAAATGCCTTATTAGAAGGAAAAAAAAGGTCTCATTTGTGGAAGAATCCACTGTAGCAGCAACACAACCCTGGCTTTGGTGACGAAGTATTTATTTTTTCCTGTAAATCAGGAAGCCCTTGCTTTTCTTGATGGTCGTTCGCGCTGGGTTTTCTTTTCATTCCTCCTTTTCAAACCCCTTTGCTCATTTTTTTTTTTTTTTTCTCATTTCCAGGCACGAGTTTGACTCCGAGCAGATTCCTGACTTGACAAAGGATATCTACATCCAAGACATTCACTGCGTGGGCTCCCTCTGCAAACTGTACTTCCGCGAACTCCCGAACCCTCTGCTGACCTATCAACTCTACGAGAAGTTCTCGGTAAGTACCAGCCAAGGCCTTTCTTTCCCTTTCCGCTTCGCCGTGACTTCGCCTACCCGGGTTGAACAGAGGAGCAGCGAAAAGGCTCCAGCAGCGAGCCGAGCCTGCGTTCCCCACGCCTTTTTGTCTTCTGCTTAAGTTGGGGTTTTTAAGAGAGCTCGGAAGCGCCGCTCTCCGAAATGACCAGCCGGAGGCCAACCTGGTGCTGCCGGCGCACCAAGCGCGGCGGTGCCCCGCTCTTGAGGTCCCTCTTCTCGTCTCGTTTGCCGCTAAATCCCGTCCTGCCTTGTTTCCAGGACGCCGTTTCTGCTGCTACAGATGAAGAACGGCTGGTTAAAATCCACGATGTCATCCAGCAGCTGCCCCCGCCTCACTACAGGTTAGTGCAGCCTTTGGGCGCAGCTCGGGAGCGAAATGGTACGATTCCAGTTTGCCCGCTCAAGATACCGAGTGCATTAAAATGGTTTATGGCTGTGTAAAGTTGATTTATATTTTAATTAGCTCGTTACCAGACACACAGAGTCACACGTGACCTCCTTGGAAACTACGTAGAGGAGGCAAAGACAAGCTTGTTCAGGCAGAAGTGGCTGATGGCACCAAGGACATGGTGGTTTTGGGGGGCACAATACCAGCTCTAGGAACCACAGTTAAAAAAAAGTGAAATGTAGCCCAAAAAATGGGCTCAGGCCTTCAGTTTCATTTGGCCAAAGTGTATTTTTTCGCCGCTTCCCCGCCCCCAGCAATAATAGTAACAAATTATAACAATGCTGTAGTAGAATAACTAATTATAATACAGTGTTTAAAAATCAGCAACTAATTATAATACTATATTCAAACTAATTAGTATTAATTGATGATATATGATAATGAGTCTTGATGAAATAGAACAACATGTCAATGCTCTTTAGCAGTAAAACTGATGGCAGGGTATGGTAAAAAGGCATCGGACAAAACCGTGTGGTGACTGGTATTACCTACTAAATATAACACCACGCGTTAATGATTCTTTGGATATTATTAATAGCTAATTATTGTCACGCTGAATGGTAAGCAGCCTTCACGAGTAATGGGGAGAAATAGCTAATGACAATGTTGAAAGTTGCTGACATTCGAGTAAGTGTTGTGATGAGCTGAACCAGTTGTGGTGCTGCGTGCTCTGGGCGACCAGCGGTGGCGTCTGCGCCTGGACGTTATCGAACTGTACTACGGTAATTAGCATGTTAATTTGTTACTGTAACCTGAAGCAGTTAGGATTCTGTACCCCCTCGAGTGGTATCGATGCCCGGTTGTAGCACGTGAAGATAATTATTTGGATGTTGAGAGCCATTTACAATAATTTGTGCTAATAAGTATTTAAATTTTAATTATTGTAAGGTATGGTGATGAGGTAGACAATTGCAGTGCTGGACCTGAGTGGTGTAGTTAACTAATTATAAGCTGTGTTACTTGAATATCAATAACTCGTTATATGGTCATTAGCCTTACCCAAGGATAACGGTTAACTCACGCGGTGCAGGCTATAACTGTGTGCTCCTCGCTCTTGAAATAGCGTTAACTAAGCAGTGTTGCAGCGGGTAGTTTGTAATATTTTATTTATGTTAATTAAGGGATGACCTCTCTCAATGATCTCATTTTCTCTGGTGCATCCCACCTTTTCCCCAAAATGACTCTTATTTTATGGGGCAAACAAACAGACCCGTTTAACTTGTGTCTTAGTTTTAGCCCAGGGAGACCCCTGGATGCACAACGACGTCCATGGCCAGGGCTGCTGCTCTCCTCCTTTCCTGCGGTTTCCTTGAAAAAGGGAAAAAACCAAACCAAACCAAACCATAAAACCCACACTTTATTTTTCTGCTACTCTGGGAGAAGAAGTTCTGCGCAGGTACCGGGCCTTGGGCGGCGTACGCTGGAGCTGGCCCTTCCGTTTCCACCCGAAGCATCCGCTGCTCTCCCGCCTCTGCTGCTGCCACTTACCTTCTTCCCGACCACCTCCGTGGTTGCAGGATCCAGCCCCTGGACCGAGAGCAGATGCTTGGAGCAGCTTTTCATCGAGCGTGGACAAACCAGGAGAGACTCCCCTCACCCCACCCCGCTGTCGTTATTTGCTAAAGACAACTTTAGCGTAGTTCAACGTTCTTTTTTCTGTGAGCTGTCAAACCAAAAGGAAATAATGAACCGAGGTTTGTTTTGTAAATCGCAGCAGGGCTTTGCTCAGTGGTGCTGAACATTTGCCTATCTCCTGTTTTCCAGGACACTGGAGTTCTTAATGAGACACTTAGCTCGTCTAGCTGATTACTGCTCCATCACGAATATGCACACTAAGAACTTAGCAATCGTCTGGGCTCCAAACCTCCTAAGGTACTCTCTTTTTTTTTGTTTGTTTCTTTTTTTTATTTTCCCCCATTTCAATACAGGATAAGTTTTTATATATAACCCATACCTGTTCCCCGGAAAAATCAGCTGGAAGGATCTTCCTTTCTTCCATCCCCTGTGCTCTTCTCCTGTAAAATTTCTAGTGGGAAGTCACTGCAAAAGCAGGGGCTTGAGACCAACTGGCCAGCCCTGGGACTAGTGACGTAAAACAGCTCCCGCTCTTGCCAGCGGAACCACGCGGCGAGAACACCCCAGTACGGAAACCATCTTGGATAAACCTGTCCCCTAAAACGTGTTTTGAACGTGTGTAATAAGGTAGTTCAGAAATTAGTGGTGTCATTTAAAAATTTTGCCTTAAAAGAAAAAGAAAACCAATTAATCACCCTGGACTGCTTTTGTTACCAACGTGAGAAATCCGAGCCGGAGATCCCCCTGCGTGCGGTTACCGAGGGTGAGCCCTTTCCTCCATCCGGGCCCTTCACCCACAAGCAGCCCCATGCCCTCTTGTTGGGGGTGCGTGCCGAGCCAGATCGGCTGGAGACACCCCTGCCAGAGGGGGAGGCACGTGCGGCTTCGTGCGGTGCCGCTGCCCCTCACCGTGTCTGGAAGGAAGCGAAAACGCTCCCCGCTTCGTGGACGCAGTTTTATTTACCTCGGCCCCCACCTGCCACGCACCCCTTTACCTCCTGGGCCCAGCATTCCTCTTGCCATCTCAGTAAGACTCCAGCCTGAACCCAAAATCTGGGGATGTCAGTACGACCGTTTGGGTGACACCGTGACGAGATTTACTCTCTCAGCTGCCCCTAAAGTCTTGCCTGCCCGAGCAACCCTAGCTGGACGCCTGCCGCGCAGCCTTACCCAAGAGGAGTCCGCCTTCCCCCGTCCTTCTGTCTGGTTGCATTTCGTTTAATTTGCCTTTTTTTTTCAGGTCGAAGCAGATAGAGTCTGCCTGCTTCAGCGGAACAGCCGCCTTCATGGAGGTGCGAATCCAGTCCGTGGTCGTGGAATTCATCTTGAACCACGTGGACGTCCTCTTCAGTTCCAAACTCAGCTCAGTCATACGAGATGGAGCAGGTACGTGTCTTCCACGGGCTTTACCTGGATCAAAAAAAAAGTAGCAGACACTTCATAGGTATCTGAGCCTCCCCTGGGACATTGGAAGTATGTTTTTACTGTATCCTAGAGGATGAATTTCTGGGGTTACAATCGTAGAACCTGGCAAATACAGCCTGGTTTTAGCAACTGCCATCAGTAACTTTCTCAGAAGTCAAAAAGTGGCTCTACAGTCTATGTCTGAACGCTTGGCTGCTACTTCTGTGTCCGAGCGCTGAGGAGCTGTAAGGAATCTCTTAACGCCCCCTCCCCTGGTCTGCCCTTACCAGCACCTCGGAGCAGAAACGAAGCGATTTAAAGAACGCTCTCTGTACTCAGGCGTGTTGACACCAAGAAACTTAGTTTTGCTCTTAACAGGGAGCGTTTTTACCCCGGTCAGTGCCCTGCGCAGCCCAGGTTAGTCCGCAGGGCTCCCTCGGCATTGGGCCCAGTTCTCCGCTCGTGTTGCTGATTTGTGGCTTTAGGCTGAGGAATGAGCTGCTCCACGTTTGTGCCCAACCCCGGAGCACTTGAAACAGCATCCAGCCTTGGAGCCCGCAGCTTCCCTGGAGTAACTGCTGAGACCACCAGTACCCCTGTTCCGTTGGAAACGAGCGGAGTTGCACCAGGAGGGTGGTTTACTCCGTACGGTAGATCAACAAACGTGGCTACCACAAGCTATTATTACTCCTAAGCAGCATTAAGTGTGCACCATCTGCTTTGATAGCCTGCCCCTCCCACGGAACGTGCACAGCCAGCGCAGTCACCACCACGTGTGGCGTACAGACAGGGGTTTTCCCAGCGCATTTGCTGCTCCCCACTTTGACACAAGCCCTACCTCTACTTCGGATAGCAGAGTTGCTCCGAGTCCAGCTTGCGTTCCTGGTGGAAGGCAATTCTAAGTCAGCAGGAGCCAGAGGTTAGCTTGGCTGAACAGGGACAGCCCACAGCAGGCTGAGCTCTGCCAGGGGAAGATAAGCACGCTAAGAGTCTGAGCCAAATGATTATCCAGGCTTAGAATGGACCATGTAAATTCGGCTAATTGTTTAATGACTTGGTCGTTCGCATGCAGCGTGCTTCCACACCAAACCGGCCGCGAGGGAGGAGGGTTGAGGCTGTTTCGCCGCCTGGCAGCGCGGTGCAGGGGCAGCATCCTCTGGGGTGCTTCCGAGAGCCTCTGGTTTTGAGCGCGGCTTCTTGCCTGGACCCACCCATGAGAGGCGAAAGCCCTTTACCTGGAAGGGCTTGGGGAGCTGACCTCACCTTTCAGGTGTAGGAAAACATGGCACCTCCCTCGTCACGCGGACCCAGAGCTTTCATCTCTGCACCGCTCTTTTCTGATTCTCCCTGGTTGCCTGTGGTTTTCCCTTACAGGGCACAGTTCGTTATCGCGGCCCAAATCCCTGCTGGTGTCGTCCCCTTCCACCAAGCTGCTCACGCTGGAGGAGGCGCAGGCACGGACACAAGCCCAGATCAACTCTCCCATCGTGGCAGACAGCAAATACATCGAAGTGGGAGAAGGCCCTGCAGCTTTACAGGGGAAATTCCACACGGTCATAGACTTTCCATCTGAAAGGTAGAGACGAGTTTCGTTTCCAGTGTGTGTCATAACTGGGGTGTGGTGGTGGGGTTTTTTTTTATTATTACAGCAAAAACTTGCCAATATTGACTGGCACTAGTCATACATAAAGCATCGTAGCCGGTTTTCCACCTGCTTCGGACTCTGTGAGGATTCAGCTTACAGCAGTTGTCGGGTGGGCTTAGTTTAGCCGTGTAACTGCTGCGCCACTCCCTCCTTTTTAGCAGGGTTATGGTCCTGTGTACAAAGCAGCGTTGTCTGGGATGCAGAGAGATGCCTGCACTCCTCGTAAAACATCCTCAGCTGTTTTTAAGTTTCTAAGCTTTGTTGCAGCAGAAACCAGACACTGGTTGCTTGTTACTGGCACTAACGGGAACGAAATGCAGCTTCCCCCTCTAACCATTTGCTCGCTTTCCCTCACGCCAGGAAAAGACCGCCCAGCAAGATGAAGAAGTCGCCGGTTGGCAGCTGGCGTTCCTTCTTCAACCTGGGAAAGTCATCGTCCGTGTCCAAACGCAAACTACAGCGCAATCCCAGCGAGCCCTCGGAAATGAAAGCCATAGCCCTGGCAGGTAAGGGTGCGAATCCGGCTTCCAAAAACCCGGGCTTTTTAGCCATGCAGAATTCAGCTTTAGGGTGTGCTTCTACCTCCTTCTAGCGTTCAGGCCACGCATAACACCGTCACTTGACCGCGCTCTTCCCTCAGCGGGTCTCGCGTTAGCTCGGAGCCGAACCTGCCAGAGCGCACACCTCTGAGGAGCTTTTGAAAGGCCACGTGTGGGCACCGCTCTAAGAATCTCAGAATAACTCCTTCTGACACGTACTGTGAAATAAGAATACCCTTCTGGCGCCCTTTGCCGCTCTCAAAAGACACGCAGCTAGGTAAAAGGCACTATTCCTCCAACCCACACGCCACAGAAGGCATCCAACAACCTGCTGTAGCCCCGGCCGTAGATGGAATTCTCAGCCCTTCCCCTCTCAAGTTTTCTGTCCCTTTCCAAATTCCAAAATCACGGGTCAGAAGGGGCCTCCTGGGCAGGAGGAGTCTGCAGGCTCCTGTGCAAAACGGGACCGCAGCAGTCTTGGACAGCAAAGCGCGTTAACAGTGGAGCAGGATAAAGGTTTTCTTTAAGGGCTTTGGAGTGAAAACAAAACCAAAAAAACCCAACCCCAAGAGAAGAAAGCACAACTGTTACTCTCAGGACAGTAGTGTTGCTAGAAACTCTCTTTGGTTTTTCCCCTGCCACCGTTACACAGCCAAATATAAACTGCTTTGATAATCCAGCTTTTCACTGTCGCGGTTGCATTCCCGTAGGTGGACGAGGAGACAGCGGGACTCTTCGCTCAGCTAAAAGCGAGGAATCGCTTACCTCTCTGCACGCTGTCGACGGTAAGACAAAACCGTGCCTGCACTTTTACCATGCGGGGATTAAAAAAGGGCGGTTTGACATTAAAAGACTGCAGGGACTCAACAGGGCAGGTTTTCCACCCCTCCAGCAAAGGCTGGGCTTGCTAATTAACGAAGGAGCTTACCCCTGCCCAGCACAGATGGGTATCGCAGAGAAATGCTCTTCACGTTTTCCTTCTGAGGTAGAAAAAAAGCAAGCCTTTTGTGTAGCCGTCACCGCTAACATTCATTCCTTGCCATCTGCCCTTTCTGTTCGAAGGTGGAAAAGACGGCATTGGGAAGGAAAACGCCTTCTGCGAAAGCCTTAGGTCTACGGCACGCTTCAACTAGTTATTTGGTTTTGCACACAGCTTAGTTTCAGCCTAAATCAGACCCGACAACTGCTGTAAAAAGAGTTTGAGCAAAAGTAATAACCAGCTGCTGCATTACTCTTGTGTCTAGAGCTCACCAGGTGACCTCCTTGCACGCTGTCTTAGGACTCCTTTAAGAACACCACCGCACCATCACCCGGCAGCCAGGCTCTGACACTAACCCGTGTGTTTCTGCTCCTTCCTAGGCGAGTCTAAACTGTTTCGACCCAGAAGACCCAGGTCCAGCAGCGACGCGCTGTCTGCTTCCTTCAACGGAGAGCTCTTGGGCAACATGAATCGCTGCAATTCTTACGACAACCTCCCCCACGAGAACGACAGCGACGGGGACGAGGGGCTCATCCACGTTCCCGCCCTGATTTCTCCTCGATCTGCTGAAGACGTTGACCTGAGCCCGCCGGATATCGGAGTCGCCAGCCTGGATTTTGACCCCATGTCTTTCCAGTGCAGCCCGCCCCAGGCGGAGTCCGAGTGCCTGGACAGCAGTACCTCCCTGCTGGAGTCAGTCGGCATAAACAAGGAGAGGCCGAGCCTCCTAAAGAAGGATTTAGAGTCAGGCAGCCAGTCCCAGACACCAGGCAGTGCCACGAGCTCTGAGCCCGTCTCCCCGTTCCAAGAGAAGATGAGTCCCTTCTTTACTCTGGATCTGAGCCCAACCGAAGAGAAGGCCTGCAAACCCCCCACCTTCTCGCCCAAGGCGGGGCGAAAGCCCATCAAATCTCCGCCGCTGATGACACCGGACCCCGTCTCCTTCGCCCTGCCCAGCCGCCCGTCGGAAGCGACGGGAGTCGGAGCGCCCGTCGCGTCCAGAAACTCCTCCGCTTCCAGCTGGAGCAAAGGGATGGGCATCACTGAAATCCCAAACAGGTCCCCAACCCAGATGTCCTTGCCCCTGAAAAACAGTGAAGCAGGAGCAGGGGAAGGAGCCCAGCAGGAGCTGCAGCATGCCCAGCTAGTGGCTGCTGGCAAACCAGAGTTGCCAGAAGAAGGGGAGAGACCCATGTCAAGCAGTCAGACTAAGACTGTACCCACTGGACACACACAGCCAGGTACAGTGCATTTTCCTCCATTCTTTCTTTAAGTTCCCGAGGGGACCTGCTCTCAAAACCATCCTCCTCTGCGTGCCTTTTTAGGAGAGGGGATTGCCCGTCAGTTCTGATCACAAGTGTCTCGCAGGGCTGTGCAGATCAGTAAGGTCTTAACCTCTGCCTTCTCCCTACATCACACAAATCTCGGATAATTTTCCATAATGCTTTGTGTACCACTTCCACCCCCCCCACCCCCCCGCATCCACTCATACATGAGAATCTCCAGCATGTCCTTCTAAATCATTTCAGCTGATAAGACCATCTAAGACTTTTCTTTTTTAAATTAAAAATCTGCCAACACTTGAAGAAGGGACCTTTTCGCCTAAAACCTTATGATCAAAATTGTGTAAGGGTATCTCATTCTCTGCTGCCTACTTCCTACCTCTCTAGAAATGCAAGAGGAGCCTTTAGACAATCTCTTGTGTTTTTTTCCTTCTTGTCATGAACTGCTGGGCTACGGCGCAGCGTTTGCATGTGAGACAGAAGATGGTTTCACAGCAGAAGGAATTGCCACTGTGAAAGTGTGGAAAGCATCTATTATTTTTTTTTTTATAATAGTCATTAAGGTTAGGTCACACTCCTTATTGGGTAACATAAAATCACTCTCTCTCTCGATTTTCCCCCCATTAGGAGCAGTTGCCCTCGACTCCCCCCAGGATCCTGTTCCCGTCAGTTCTGTGTCTCTTATCCCTCCTCCTCCTCCGAAAAACGCAGCGCGCATGCTAGCCCTAGCGTTAGCCGAGTCCGCACAGCAAGCGTCCGCTCAGTCTCAGAAAAGGCCAGGAGATGCTCATTCTGAAAGCACCAATTATGGAGAGACTGAAGCTGGCACAGCTCTAGAAAAGCTCCATCTCTCTGCTGGTGCTCCAGACAAGCTCCACCTGTATACCGGTCTGCCCGAGAACCGACTTCACTTCCAGACTGGTGCACCAGTAGAGCAGGATTTCCAAGGTAGCAGCACACCCGGGGAGCAGAACCACCCGCCAGGTGCACCTGGAAACCGGGACCCCCCACCTCTCCACACGGGCATGCCTGGGGACATGCCCGATAGCAGAGATGCAGAGCAGGAGCAGTCCAGCCTCCATCCGGGTAAAGCGGGGGACAAAGAGCACTTCCCTTCCCACGCTGGGGACTGGGAGCACACACACCACCCCGCTCCAGGCGCGCTGCCTGACTGGGAGCCGCCCACGGCAGACGTGTCCGTAGATAAGCCCCACCTCCGTGCATGCATGTCTGGGGACAAGCACCACATCCCTGCCTG